AGTGAACAAAGAATCTCCAGTCTAAAAATATGGTAAGCTTCCATCCAAAAAGAACATGCAATCATAAGTTTAGTGTCCCAGTGGGATTTTTTTGTATCTCTTTTTGAGATGAATAACCTTCTTATATAGAAAATAGGTTCCTCATCTGTACATCTACACTTCGCTGTAAATCCTGCAAACAGCCTTATTGAATTCATCAGGAAAAAACTCAATACATAAACCCTGGCCACTGCTTCCTTTGCTTCATGTAGGCAGAGCTTAAGAGGTTTTATAAAAGCATCAGGTGAGACAGTTTGCTTGGCGTAAGACACTAAGCAAATTTTAAAGAAAAATCAGAAAGAGGAATCATTTGAGTCTTAAAAATCACTCTTAGCTTGGAGTAAATACGTGGGTCTCATAAGGTCTTTCTGGCAACTATCCATCTTTCCAGGGTTATTTGTAATTCTTAGCTCAAGAGGCACAGCAGTGTTGTGGCATCCAGTTGATTAGAAGAAAGGGAGTATGTGGGTGGGCCAGACGTCATGTATTTTCTTGGTGTCAGTTATTGCCAAAAGAGGTTATTTTAGTTGTACAGTTTATTTTGTTAAAATGTAATTATTATGCTAATTATTCCCAAATTTACTGGTTAATTATAATTCTGAAATCTCTGCCCTGGTACTTCCAGAGATGTACAAGCTTTGGGAAATGTTTCATAATATTAATATTATTTCCACAACCGAGTCATTTGGCTAATGTTCCTACAATGCAAAAAGTAACATCCTTTAACAAGAAGGCATGGCTAGCTCCATGAAACAGCTGATCTGCATCAAAAAGGCATTTTGCTCAATCTGATTTCACTGCAAGAAGCAAATGGCTTAAAAGGAGCACAAAAGAACCTAAATGTTGGATCTTGGTTTCATTACATCATTACACAATTCCCTTATCCCTCTGTTTTCCTGGGGAATGAGGGGGCGTAAAGGCCATCCCACTGGTGCTACAGGAGGTCTGTTGGATGCTATTACAAGGAGAGCTGGAAAGGCTGTCTCAGTTCTTTTAGGGAAAATTTTGTCACCGAGTTCAGCAGGAGCGTTGTCCTTGATTTCTGCAGCGGAAGGATGAGGGATGCACATGGGCTTCATTTGGAGTTACAAAGAGGAATGGGTTGCCTACAAAGTTGCTGTCTGCTCCCTGGACCTGAATTTAGACCTCCTCCTGTGTCCCCAGTGGATGACCAGGGTTAGCAGTGTTTGGAGTTGTTACCCCTGGTTCCTTCATGCCTGCACTCATCCTGTGGTGAAGGAAAGGGGAAGTTTTTCTCTGTAGTACACTGGGACGTTCAACATTACAGACTTCCAAGGTGGAAACTTAAACCTGTGCAGCCCTGGCACAAGCAGCACATCTCTGATGAGCCATGGAAAGGTGAACTGCATTGCTCAGCTTCTTCAGAGGTTGAAGTGGTGGTAACTGTAAGCACCGAAAAAAATGCTTTGAAAGTGCCCAGGGAAGGTCACCCAGCATTTTTTCTTTTTTGCCTCTTTAAAGAAGAAAGTGTCATGGGTGGGAGATAGAAGAATTGAAATTACACCTGCTCACAGAGAAATTGTGGAGAAACTGTGAGGTTGGGGGAAATTGTCCTTGCCCACTGACTTCACTGGGATTGTGGTGCTGCATAGCTAGTGAAGATTAACCTACAAAACTCCTGGGAAACTTGCTGACTCTTTCTCCACAACCCCCAAAATAGAAAGGAATATCTGGAGCTTAGAGAGAATGCTGAGCTCTGAAAAGCTGAGTGCTTTCTACATGAGCAGATTAAGGAAATCTTGCCATCATATGTTACCCTGTGGGGACTACATTATGGCCCTAATTTTAGTATTGGTTGTATGAGTATCAGATGCTAAGTATAATTTTCACTTTAGGTTCTCAAAAATACATGGAATTCCTTTTAATTTGGAGTGGGGAGATGCTCCTCTACTTTTTAAATCAAGTTTTGAAATTTTCATGACTGTAAATTGAAACATTTGATCTGTTTATGTGTGTAAGAAATGTTTACACAGCTTATACTTGCAGCTGTAGAATGAGAGTTGGGAGTAGTACTGGAAGTCCCATACTGTTACGTGTAAAGATGTTTTGATACATCTGGGAGAATGTAAGCAAGTAGGTCAGTGGATAATGACTTAAAGATTTGGAGCAGAGGCAGAATTTGGGGAAGTAGTGGCAAGGCCTTGCTGGAGAAAAAGGAACAAATGGAAAATCTGAATGATGACTTAGGCTAAAAATATCAATGGAGAAAATTGAACAAAGTTAAATGTATGCATATGGTACGATAGAGTCATGTTTAACACGCCCTGCACTCGGCTGTAACTGGGGGAAGCAGCCTGTGAGTGCGTGTGAGTGTTCTGCCTCTTGTGTGAACTTGGGGGCAGAGCCCACACAAGGGAGGGAACTGTGACCCTTCCCCTCAGACACCCCCACTTCTAACTGCAAACACACTTGCATGAGTGATCAGATTGTTCATATAATCCCATAAATATTGAAATGCTCAGGATTCTGTTGTGCTTGGCATGGACATGCAATTCACCAACAATGAGATTGGACCTGTGGCAGTGGCACTCAGCCTCTTCATCTTCCTTCCTGTTGTGGCCATGGAGTTACAGTGCTGGTAATGGGTATCCTGGACTAGGAACATCAGTAGAAAACAGCAGCCATCATGTACAGCCAGTGTGAACACCTGTGGGGCTCACCAGAGAGCAAATCCCCCAAACACTCGGTGATAGTACTTAGTAAAGTGCCTTTTTGCAGGGAATCTCAAACATTGTTTTTCTCAAGCTGGGTCAGAAGACACGGAAGCGCAGAGCAGTTAATTGGATTTCCCAAGGAAGCATAGCAAGCACTGGAGGACTGAGGCTGGCTTCCTTGTTTCCCAGCCTCCAGCACAAAGCAGCAGACTGTTGGCCACACTACTTTAATATTTCTTTAGGTGACTGGGAGCAGAGCATGACATTTCCTTTTTTACTTTCATATTGAAGGGCACAAATTCTCATTTCTTGAAAATATTTGTCACTTAGAGCATGCCTATACAAATTCTCTCCTTGGTTCCTACAAGTGTTGTGCTGTGGGATCAATTTAGGGACTCCAGGCAGGGGAAGATCGCAGTCAGACCAGGGGGGAGCTGGGTCTTCTCCAGTTTTCATATGTGAGATGTTTCAGGCAGTGTTCATTTCTGAAAAACTTATTTGGTGGTTCAGCAATTGTGAAATTTCTTTGCCAGGGTAGGTTTGTCACAGGAAAGCTTTTCCTCCTAACATCTTGTATGAAATTGGGAGTTGTAAGCTCCCAGGGTAGCTGTAGCTGTCAGTCTGCTGATTAGAATAAAACATTTTCTTTTCTTCCTCCTCCTCTCCCCCTCCCCATGCCATAAAATGATTTGATTACAAAGAAATAGGGAGATAAATGTACTGCCTGTGGTCTTGTCTTTGAGCCCAGGGTAGCTGATCCTTTCAGCAGTCACAGCTGTGATGTGGATAAACCCTGACTGTGCAGTGGGCATGTGCACAGGGTGAGACCCTGCTCCCCATCTGTAGAGAGCCCACTGCTGCCAGGTCACCCCGCTGCTGCTGGGGCTGGAGGGGACAGAACCTTCCCCAGGAATTTCCATCTGCACCTGCCCTCAGGCAGAACAGAGATTTCTCACCTTGCTGACGGAGCCACTTTGCCTGAAGTTCAATGGGATGAGTAAAGCTGAAGGAGTTGGGTAGCTCTGGACTTGAGCATTAGTTAATTAGTTCTCACCTTGCCCTGAGCTGGGTCAGGCATGAGGTGTTTGTCTCAAGGGGGAACTGAGGTGAAGTGGTTCATCACTAAAGAAGCATCAGATCATGCCAGAACAACCATTAGGGCCCAGGACTAGCTGGCTCATTAGACCTCTCCATCTCTGCTCCTGACAGGAGAGATGCTCATCCTCTCTTTAAATGTGCTGTTAATTAAATGTTCCCTGAAGATAAGGATGCTGTAGCAGCACGTCTAGTGTTGACTCCCACATCAAAGGAGTGAGCTCCCTGCACAACAGCCATTAAAGGTGCACTTTGGACTGACATAGGCAGAGATAGACATGAAAAATTTAAGCTGGGGGTTAGGTAAAAAAACTGATAAAAGTACCTCAGACAAATTTCACAGAAATCAGATGACTGTGAGGTAGGAGAAAGTTCCATGGAATTATTGCACACATACACACAAAGTGTGATTTTATCCTTGTACATAGGTAACAGCTTGCCAGCAATGGGCAAAATCTGGGGAGAGGGGGATATCTCTTTGTTGGTGGGAAGAGGGGAGGGAGAAAAAAGACATTTCTAAATTTTTCTGGTGAAACGGGCATTTGTCGTTCTCATTTTTTATGTTATTGTTTCCAACAATTGTTACGTGGTTGTTAAATTTTTTAAAGTAATTTTAGATTTTCCAAAAGTGACCATGATTTGTTACTTATACTGTAGCTTACAGAAGTGACACACTTAATATCGGGGGGTCCAAACCTGGATATCTACCAATGGAGATGGAGATCAGGTAAATGCACACCTGCTCTTCCAAGGAGGAAAAGCTGCCATTTGGCACCTGGTTTGAGAGGGAGGCACAGGCTGTACCAGAGCATTTTGGACGAGGTTAGAACTGAGCGCTGCCATTAATTGCCAACCTTTGTGTAGGCCCAGCATGGCTTTGTGTGACAATGGTGTTCAGACAACCCGCCATCCACCAGGAGACTCCGTGTCCCTGGAGAAGGCTCTGGGTCCATCCCCAGCAGCAGCTGAGCGCAGGGCCGCTGAGGGAGACCTGGCAGGAGCTGTGGTCCCCAGCCCAGCCCCGTAGCGAGCGCGAGGTGCCAGCTTGCTCTCCCAGCCGGAGGGAAGGTGGTGGTGGCCGCAGCAGAGTCCGTGCTGAAGAAGGCAGGTGAGAGGGAGGTGTCTGCAGGTAGAAAAGAGCAATTGTGTGGCACTGTGGCCATGCCTGTCATCTCCTCTTCTCTTTTACAGACACTTAACAAGAACAACTTGATACCGGACGACAGGACCAACTTCTACCCGCTGCAGCAAACCAATGTGTACACAACAACCTATTATCCCAGTACACTGAATAAATATGATTACAGGCCTGAGGCCTCCCCTGGAAGGACCTTTACCAACAGCTGATGATGGACAGACACCATGGGACTGGATAACTTCCTATATGATTTTTTTTTTTTAATTGATTTTATGGACCAAATACTGGCCCAGCTTCTAGATGTAAATATTGTACAGTAGGGTCTTTTTTTTTTTTTTTTTTTTCTTTTGTTAATTGTGTTTCTTGTAAACAGCACATCTCCTTACAAAGACAAAAATTCAAATGGACCATTCTGCAGTGCTTTTGTGGATATATGTCTGGAGATGGCTCTTCTACTGCAACTGTTTATGGCTGGAAGGTCAGCGTGCTGTCCAAGGCTGAGGCTGTCCAGGAAGGGGCTGTGTGCTGGGCTTGGTGGCCATTGAGCAGCCACACACAGCACATGGGAGCACTCCAAGCACAGCAAGAGCATGGAGCAGGCCTGGATGCAGCCTTCCTGAGCCAGGACAACAGTGGTGCGCTGGATGACACACAGCTCATGGGACAGGCCAAACAGGACTCCATCATACCAACAACTTGAAGAACATTTTCTTTCTCCTTTTTTTATTTTAATTTTTGATTTTTTTATGTTTCTGAGACAAAAAAAAAGTAGTAACTTTCTAGGGCAGTGTTCCCTGTATCTTTGACAGAATCTTTTCATATTACAGGAAATACTCTCTGCAGCCTTCTTTGGTAATAAGCAGTTCAGCTGATGAGAAATAACACACAAATGAAGTGCATTACCCAAAGAAGCTTTCCAGAATGTTTCCAGTCTTAATTAAAAGAAAATTATACAGGCAGTGAGACACTGAGAAAAGTAAATGTTGGAATAACATTGGAGACATGAACTTGGAGTGCCTAACAAACAAAGATGTTTATATCACTGGAAAAAGAGATGTGATGATTGCCGCACAAGAGCCATGGGCTTTTTTTCTTTCTTCCTTTCTCTTTTTTTCCCGAGACAGTGTTAACTCTTTTTGTTCTAGCTTTGATCCTGATGGTGTGTGCCAGGAGAGGCAATTTTAGAGGCCATGCTCTTCTTGTGGGAAATCACCATGCTTTGGGCTAATATTTCCTCTTGTTTTATTATCAGGTTTTAGTTCATATACTTTCAAAAAAGGAGTGATTCTGACTTTGCAGGGGGAAGATATTTTTTAAAGGAATGTTTCCATAGTCTGACATGACCCAGAAAGTCTGCTGCACGTTCTTATAGCGTCTTCCAGTCAATACTCTATGAAATAGTAACACAGCTGAGTAATGTGCATTGTTTGCCAATATTTCTTTAATTTTTCTGAGAAAAAAAACAACCCAACAAACAAATGCTGCTGCAGCTATTGAAGTAAATTGGAGCGGTGGCATTATTAAACAGTATATCCAGCCTTGAAATGTAATTTTGTGTATGTGTGTGACTGTGTCTATAAGAACTGTATTAGTCTGATGCAGAAGCCATGTTGTCTACAACCAGATGTTTGTCTGACATAATTGTTTGGCAAAAAGGAAACTTATTGCTGGTGCTTAATGTACAACTACATCCAGTGTGTTAGCAACGTGAACAAGTTCACCGCTGTTATCATTCAGTGTTTCTAAATATTTATGATGAACTCCTGATGCTAAGTATTTTAGAATGTCGCAGTACTGAGCATGAGATAAAAGTACACCCTGAAATACGCATGAGCTCCACGTGGTCCTGAGCTTGGCTTTGTTGTCTGCACCTTCCCCGAGCAGTGCCAGTGCCTGGCCCCCGGCTCGGTCTGTTCCCAGCAGTCCTGTCTGTCCCCGCTTGGTTTCAGATTTCGCTGTGAGCCGGTTGTTTCTCAGTGCTGTTCCTTTGCAGTTGCTTGTTTGGAAGCCCAGCTTGGGCTGTGTACTCAGCTCTTTCACGTAGGCAGCTGGTAGGAAATGAAGAAAGCCTGTGTTGCTTGTGACAAGTATATTGCTTTTCCTGCGAGGAAGAGCCAGTGTGACTCTGCAAGCCTGTGTGTTACGGCGGTTTGACCAGAGGGCAAGTATAAAATAGCCTCCCATTTTAAAATTACTTTGTTTGACTTCAGTTTGCAGTGATTGAAAGCTGTAGGGATATTTGTAATAAAGTGGGGTTATTAGCACTGCCACGAGGACACCTTAGGTTCAGCAGTGCCCATCATTTTCAGCAGCTGCTTTTCTTTTTTAGCAGCTCGTCCTGTTTCTGCTCTGATCTCACCAGGTGAAATAGATGGGGCAGAGGGAGAGAGAGAGGTGCCCTTAAATCCATTTTAAGCAGCGGATTCAGGAGCTGATGCAGACCTAGAAGACTTTCTGAAGCACCTGCTACAACTCTCTAAGTTGGCAGAGTAGTTCAGCAGCCCTGAACCCCCAAGAGCACAGCCAGGCAAGAGCAGCTGGAGCAGAGCAGGATCACCAGGGAAGCAGGATAGCACTGGTGGCAGGTAACCTTCAGGGAGGCTCTTCCCAGGCCACTAAATCCCATTTGAGGAGTGATGACTTTGTGCCTCGTGCCATAATGAGTTCACCCTGTCTCACTGAATTTCTACATGCCCCTCAGCAATATTTAAAATCCTGACTTAAAGTAGTTCTAACAAGTATGTAGCCCAAGGGTTGGAAATTATTGCATTAGACTATCAGGATGGGATTTCCCAGCTTTAATTTATGTGATTCAGGAGAAAACACTGGCTCCCAAGATCATTCCAGCCATTATAAAATCAAAGCCATCTCTGAGCTTCCCCATCTGAAGATTCCCTGTATTAACACACTGCAATTACCATGCACGTGGCAAGATTGCAGCTGGAGTTTGAGGGGATACAAGCAAGTCAAACCTTGCAATTATCTCAATTTTCTATTTTTCCTTTCTCTTTTCCCCTCTCCCCTTTTTAATTTTTTTCCATTTTTCACTTCACAGAATAACATGATGCAAACTGATTTCTTTTTCCCAGGGTACCATATGAAATTATTTAAATGTTCAAGTCACCAAGATGGGTGATTACTGCCATTGTGCTCTGGAGGTGGATATTTTGTAGGCTATTGGAGGACAGATGCTTTAAGGGTGGTGCATGTGGTTATAGTTTCATCAAGACATTCCTCCTTATCAGCCATCCAAATGGATTCAGCCCTTTTCCATATAATTGGCAATCACAGCAAGGGGCTGTAGTCTCCATTTGAGCAGAAAGCAGAATCCAGGAGAGAGTGAAAAAAGAAATCAGAACACTGTATTACTCAATTAATGTTTGCAGGAGAGTGCAGTTCTTTAAGGATGATGTTAATGCCGTGTGAGAGTTGCATTTTTTTTCAGCTCTCCAATATGTGGCAGGTTAAGGACACCATGTGCAGGGATATTCTTGTAGTCTAGGTAATTTGGCACCTTGAGCATTAGGTCTGTAATATCTGTAGAAGTTTGAGTTGCTCCTGCAGCTGGAAGTTTAACTTGCTAAAATTTTCTGTTCCTAACACCATCTTAAACTGGAGTGGAAATGCATTTCCTTTGGGAGTGTTGCTTTCCACAAAGTTCATTTGCTATATATATATATGTATAATCTTTTTTTCCCTTCTAAGTAAGAGTAGAGGAACCCTGAGTGGTTTCTCTGTAGGTCTGGAGACACTGTGTCTCTGCAACCCCTTTGGATGGGATTCAGGTGTGCAGAACATGAAATATGATGGAAATCATACAGCCAAGTGTGTAGTGGAAACATCTGTAATTAGGCCATTCTCTCTTTTTCCATGGAAGCGGCTGCTTTTCTCCCAGCCGAGGGGGTGTGCCTGGTGCTGTTATCCAGGGATGTTGTGCCATTGCTGTCGGGTTTTCCTTGGGCAGTTGCCAGTAACTCACAGCTCACTGACAGACAAACCACTTGAGGATCAAACCCTCACATAAGAGGTGCTGTTGCTCTGAGGGTGCACTTGAATGTTCAGCATATGAGCAAGGGCTGCTCTTAAATGTATGACCTGTACAGATACTATAGGAGAATAACTTTTATTGTCTAACCACCACTGTTCCTACTGCCTTATGTTCAGAAAATGAAGTGTTTGCTTTGGAATCAACAGAGAGCAGGAATGGAGCCCGTGTCTGATGCAGACAATTCGATGCCTCCAGTGATAATCTGCTGTTCAGCCCACCTGGAGAGAAAACTGCTGTCCATTGAGATTGATTTATTCTTTGTACCAAATGTAGTGGGGGAGAGTTATATATATATATATATATATAAAAATATAAATATATATATAAAAATGTAAATTTAAAGTTTCTGTAACAACTTACTCTTCTTTTTGTAACAGTGTATACATCTATCAGTGGATAGATACAGTATATATTTATAATATATACACGCAATATATATATTTAGCAAAATGCCTGCAGAGGAAATTTAGAATAAGAAAGGCAGTGCTGGTATTCAAATTCCACAGGGACAAACTGAAGAAAAAATCCTATAAAAATGTAGTACCCTTTCCATTAGATTTAAAAATCCACTTTTGAGATAAATAAAATATAATTTTTTAATTGAAAAATAAATTGATTTTTCTAGTTGGAAATGCTGATTCTCCCCTAAATCATTCTGGTTAAGAGTTATTAAGAAAGAGATACTTGATACTGTTTATATTTTCATAATAAGCCTCCTAAATTTCTCATGTGTATCACTGTATTGTTTTTGTAATTATAAATAGGGAGTAATTGTGCAAAGCAAATTAAAATAGCAAGTAGGAGTAACAAGTCTTGTACCATTAGAGCAAAACACATCATCTGTTATAACAGGGAAAATGTCATCTTCTGTGTTAAAGAAGTCAGTAACTGCCTTCTGAGTTATTGATCAGCTTTACAAGCCTTGCCTTCCAGTCACACCAGGAGGTTTTATCTGAAATGTAGGAAAAGAAGCCCTGTGAACCCATGGCTTTTGTTTTTCAGAAGGGTCAAAAAAACTCCACCAAGCCATGGGGGCACCTGATGCCATGGGTGTCTCTGGAGCTTTCTGTGTCAGTGGCCAAGGCTCTGCCCCCACGTCTCACCTGCCACCCCCACGAGCCAGCCCTGACACACGGCAGGGCACAGCACCCTCAGAGCTGTCTGGCATGGCAGAGAAATACCCAGAAAATCAGGTCTGAAGGATTCATTCTTCAACAAATCTCTTAAATGCCCTCATGGCCAAGGCCTAAACTCCCAACCGATGAATCTTTCCCTTAAGCTTTTTAGAAGGAAGCTTCAGGTAGCTTCAAGAGCAGTTTGGGGGTAGGTGAGAGAGCTTTCTGTCCAACTTCGTTTTGCCTGGTTGCCAGAACCTTCAAAACTGGGCAGAAACCCCTCTGGAGCTGGGTCCTTGTAGGACTTACCCAGTCTCAGCTGTTCTGTCTAGAAATTCCTTCTTTAGAACCTTAGGGAAAAATAATTAATCTGCATTAATCCTGGCTGGAGGAGCAGAACCAGCAACCCACTATTTACATAGCCACAAACGTAAGTGCTCAAAAGCACTCAGTGTATGTTTGGGTCTTGAACCTGTTGCTTTTTCTATTCTGCCTCCAGCCTCTGCTGCAAACTCACCCCTGCTATTCAAGAGGATTCAGTTCTATAAGAGCAGCATTTGGCTTTCTGCAGGCCCCAGCCACGATTTGGTTTTAAACAAACCTGGTCATGAAAAGTATTAACACTGCACTCTGGTTCTCCTGCCTCCACCAGCAGGATGCTGCTGATTCTCAGGCCACGGAGTCAAGCAGAGGTCGGCGTGGATGGGCCATTAATAACTGGAGCAAAAATGTTATTAGTACTAAAATGTCAAACAATGTAAAAGCCAGCCAGCTGCACAGCAGTGTGCTTTCTTTCCACACCACTCCTTAGACAGCATCCAGACCTGCCCAGACCTAAAAGCCATGTGCTTAATTAGGAGCATTCCCACAGAGGAAGCTTTGGGAGGAGGCATGGTATGTGCCATGGAAATGGTAGGATTTAGCTTGTGGTTGAGGTGGGAGAGTGACAGATGCAATATTGGATCTTGGATACATGGGAAACAATTATGTGAACACAGAATGCTTGCCCCAAAACAACAAAACCTGGAGAGTATTATTGGACTCTGTTGTGAAGGCACATCACCTTTCCTATGCAATCGAACTTGATGGTACTTTAGCATAAAGGTGACCTAGACTATAATCACTGCCTTTAGACACTGTGAATTTTTTTTGGGTATTCTGTATTTTTATATATTGTACAATGTAAAGAATAATTCAGAAATAAAACAGACCAACCTGATAAGCCTGTGAGTTATTTCTTCAACGTGCGGCAGGGCTGGGGCTCCTGACAGTGCTGGCAGGATGGGCCAGCAGGGACAAGGAGAAGCTTCCTCCTGACCTTGGCAGGCAATGGCCTTGCAAAGTCCACTCAGCTGCCTGAGTGGGGATGGGGAATTGCAGCAGCCACCCTTCCTCCATGTGTGCACTTTGGCCACATCCTTAGGCCCAGGTCTGGGTTATACTTGCCGTGAGTTGCAGTCTCTATGGACACCAAACTGTGTTACTGAATGTAAGGCTCCCTTTCCCCCATCACAAGCTCCACACCAAACATGGGGTGCCTTTCAAAAAAGGTATTTCTGAGCGAGGTGCCCACTGAGGTAAGATTGAATATGAAATTCAGGGTGCCAAACCCTCCTCCAGATCTGCAGTGTCTCCCTTCTGCTCCTCAGCTCTCTGCAGGTGA